AACACTCGAAGTGGTTGAAAGCACACATGAGATCACATTCAAATTGGATAAAGGTTAATATAACTACATAACTTTTCATCTACTGTTATTGTAATACGTAAGCACTAATGTTCTCTTAATTACTTAAAGGCAAATTGCAAAAAGCCCCCAATTTGTACAATATGCAACCGAAGTTTTAAAGGTCCAGGGATGCTGAAAATGCATATGAAAACACATGAGGTATTCAATGTAGATAATAAATAATAAATTATATAAAATATGTACTAACAACAAATGTTTATTAGGCAAAACCAGAAAAACCACCTACGTGTACAGTGTGTCATAAGGAATTTAAATCAAAAACTATATTATATCGGCATAGGCAAACACATTTTGAGGTGAATACATAATGGCTCATATTTAGTTACATTTTTTATATTTAATTCATAAGTTATTATGCTTTATTTTTGGTATATTTAAAATATTATTTTATAAATTTGGAAATGTTTGAACCTGTTGTCTTATATTCTTATTATTATTACAGAAAAAGCTGTATCCTTGTACAGTTTGTGAAAAAAGCTTTATTTCCAACTATGCTCTGCAAGCCCATCTTGCCCGACACCGTGGAGAAAAACCATATAAATGCTACAATTGCGAGAAAAGTTTTTATAATCCTACAGATTTAAAGGTAAATATATAATAAATCTTATATATTTATATGTAAATAATACATAAATTATCTATTATCTACTGAAATATACAGAATTTATTATCTACTATACAGAAATTACCATAGGCATTTGCAAATGAAATTTTTAGGTTCACATGAGGCTTCATACTGGAGAAAAACCTTTAAATTGTCCAGACTGTGGAAAAGCCTTTAGACGTCATAGTACCTTATGCCAGCATGCTAAGAAACATCGAGGTGTAAGGGATCATGTTTGTGCAACTTGTGGAAAAGCTTTCTTTGAGATTTCTAAACTTAATGCCCATATGCGTGTTCATACAGGTATACTACTTGCAAATTTAATACTTTTTTATATTTGTTTTATTTTGCTATATACTACTATACAACAATAATTAAATTCACAAAGTTTCTACATTAATATGTGATCTATAAAGCATTAAATATTACCATTGCTAAAAAACTTTTTTTAATATTGCAATTGATGAAACTTTATACAACTATATTTCATTGCTCATAATCTATTTCTAGGTGAAAAACCGTTTGAATGCCAGTACTGTTCTCGTAGATTTACTCAACAATCAGCTTTGATTTATCATCGAAGAACGCATACTGGTGAAAGACCGTATGCTTGTGAATCACCAGGATGTGATATGAAATTTGCAACCAGCTCAGCTCGAAATAATCATATGGCTACACACACTGGATTTAAAAAGTAAATATTAGCGAAATTGAAAGAAACGCTCATACTAATATATATAAAATATAGATGATCAAATTGAGAATTTTATTAAATAATATTTAAATATAAATTAAAATTTTAATATTTTAATATTCAAAAATGTTATTCTTTGAAAACTAATGATATAAAAGCTTTAATAAAAATGATATGGTTAATACCTGTTAAAATATCAGCTCAATATATCTTCATCTAGTCTAATTTCTCTAAATTAAATAAAAGTTTATGTTTTTCTTTGATAAAAATAATTATTATTCTTTTGTTTATCCATTTAGATTTGCTTGTTCTGATTGTGGAAAAGGATGCACGAATAGGACTGAACTTAAAATTCATATGACAAAACATACAGGAGAAAAATTGTTTCCTTGTGAATTTTGTGATCAGAAATTTTCTACTGCTAGTTATCTTGCTGTTCATAGGTATATTAATATACATGATTATTTTTAACATTCACTCAAAAGTTTTATTAGAAACATTTGAGTAATGATGTAATATTTTCTATTTAGGCGTCACCATACAGGAGAGAAAAAATATGTTTGTGAAACGTGTGGGAAGGGCTATGTGGAGTCTGGCTCCTATAAAAAACATATAAAGACACATGAAACGGCTAATAATGCTAAGACATTTTCCTGCACTTTGTGTAACAAATCTTATACACAGGTAATTATGAGAACCTATGTGTTGTTCCTACAATAACATGTATTTTTGTTTAATTATATTTAAAGTATTTAGCAATATTAAGCTAATAATTTTAAAAAAGTAATTATTTTTTGTTTTTAGTCTCAAAACCTTAAAAAACATATGATGACTCATCAACAAGATCAACAAAATCAGCAAGTTCAGCAACAACAACAACAACAGCAACAACCACAAACTCAACAACAAACGATAATTCAAGCCCAGCCACAAACTGTAACAATGCATCAAATTAGGCAAGCATCTCCTGATACCGTACTTGGCCAGGTCAGATATAAATAACTAATAAATACAGTTTATTTCCATGCTTAGTTTCTGTTTAATATATAATAATTTCGTTGTTAATTTTTATGTTTTAGGTTTCACTACAACATCCCCTTCATATGCAAACAATTCAGCAGTTGTCGAGTTTACCCTCCCTTTCAAGTCCACCGCCTTTAGTTCACTTATCAACAGCTGGCGGACAATTACTACAAATACAACCAGATCAACTCGGACAATTAACACATCGAATAATACTGCAGTCAAATGGACAACCTATTTTATGGCAACAGCAACAGTAGGATTTTTCTTACATAATAGAATAATATATTATTTGAGACAGGTGAGAAATACGTTAAGAGTTGTAATATATGCACTGGACAGGGAGAAAAAGGTTTGTTTGTTGTTTTTTTTTATATCTTCTTTCTCTTTTATATATGCTTTAAACAATTGCTTTGAGCAATTTGTACTATTCTCTTTAATAAAATAATATATATTTTAATTGACTAAAACAAATTCTAGATATTTATATTTTGACCACTTGAAATACATTGTATTTCACATAAAAAGAAATAAGTAAAATTTAATAGAATTAATAAAAGGCTATTTTAATTTTTTTTCAATTGCATTTAAAATAATAATGTTTCTTATAAATCACGTTTAAATAAATATATATCATGACCACTTAAAATTATAGGCAATAATTAATATTGTTTCCCGCAAAGAAAACCATAAAGTTTGCATTTTTTTTATAAATATTGCACATTCCTGTATTGTTCTAATAATTTGCATAATTTTGTAATTGTAACCTCACGTTTATGATGAAGCTGATTGTGATTTTTCTGTAAACTACACTTTTAATTATTCTTTTTATATTGAACAAATTGATAATTGACCTATCGAATATTTTTTAAATAATTTTATTAATTCATTGTGGCTGGAATAGCCCATTCGATTAATACTTAAAAAAATTATTTAACATACATATAACTTTAAAAAAATTTAATTGTAAATAATAAATAAATTAATTTTACGAATAAAAGTAAAGTAAAAAAAAATTATAGAATAATTTTGATTGTAGTATTTATATTTGAAGAAATATAGTTAATATAATATACATGATTATGAATCTAGATATACATATATATAAATTAATTATAAAAAGATATTAATAGTTTTTATACTAATGATAGATTTATATAAACAAACCTTTCAGTTTTAAATTTAAAGGAAAAACATAATACAACATTTTTAATTATTATTCTTTAAAAGAACATTTTTTAACTTAAACTATAGCAGAACGTAAATTAAATGCATCATAATATTTGTCCTTTTTATGCTAAGTGGCAATTTTACTGAATAATAAAAAATAAATTTCAATAACATTTTAACATATTGTTGTCATCAGCATTTATGATCTTACATATCATGATTATAAACAAATTTTGATTTAAGGATATTAAAAAAAAAATTAAATTTTTATTTTAAAAAATAATTTAAACCAGTTATGGTCAAAAATTACCAAATAAATATTATACTTTAAGTATTTTTATCTTTTAAAGATTACTAATTTTTTTTTTCAAAACTTGTAAATATGTACTTATGGTTATCAAAGGAACACATCACAGATTTTTTATTACGCATTCTATTTAAGAGCATTGATTGATTGTAAGTGCAATAAATAGACCTCTTGTATATAATTAAAAAATAAAGAATTATTAAAAAATTATGTTTTATATAAAAAAAAATAATATAATGTGTCTAATATAACGCGTTGCAGCTAGGAAATATATTAGCGGTATTGGAGTTTGTTATCATTTATAGGAAATTCTTATCTTATGCGGATTGATAAAATTATTTTGACTGGTTTGTGTTAAAATATTTATTGTATAAACAAATATGTTTAAAACATTTCATTTTTAATGCGTGTTTTCGGTCGTGCCGCATGAAATATTTTAGTGAAGAAAGTGTTGAGTGCTGATAAATAAAATATAATGAAATAATAGAATTTAAGTTAAATATTAGTACTCGGTAATATGTTTTATATATATTTGAACAGCTGTTAACACTTTCCACTCGCGAATTCCGAGATTTATATGAATTTTGCCGCCGAAGCGGCGGCATCCGAATCGGAAGGGTTAAAACTAGTGTTGTATGAGTTATTCTTTAATCTCATATTTTAGAAGACGATTCATAGTGGTTGGTTCTCACTTCCTGATTATTAAATTATAGATAGTCGTTTGATAATATTTTATAAACAAAATAAATTATTTGCTCATAAAATGGCATTAGATCCAACAATACCAATTCATTACCTGGCAGCCTATCCCATACGGACAAAAAACGTTCAGGTAGTTTGTTATTGACTAGACTAACTTAGGTAGAAAATAATTCGACAGATAGCATTGCACCCAATCATTATCATTGTAAATTTATTCTAGAATATTACGAAGGAAGATTTTATAAAATTATATAATAGTTTTATAACAAAATTGATAGTAGTCAATCATCTTTGTTAGTAGTGTACACATCATCTTTGCTAATTGTTTGACATTTCAATTTTGTTTTGAAATATTTGTTATTGGTGATTTGAGAATAAATTTCTTTTATTGAATGATAATTACTAGAACTTATTTAAATATGAGTAATATAATAACCCAAAGACAAGAAAAAAGTAAACATTATCTGCAAGGTAATTTTGAGAAGGCTTTTGAAGATCCTGTTATCCAGAAAGATCCAGAAGAGAAAGACAATTTCATCTTTATCAAAGACGAGATAAAGATTGAAGAACCAGAAATAAATAATTGTGATATGTGTGACGAAAATGTGTGCCTTAATTCAGAAACCAGAGGTAAAGATTTTCTGCATGATGATTTTGAAGATCCAGAAGAAGAAGACAACTTAATCTTTATCAAAGACGAGATAAAGATTGAAGAACCAGAAATAAATAATTGTGATATGTGTGACGAAAATGGGTGCCTTAATTCAGAAACCAGAAGTAAAGAATTTTTGCATGATGAATTTGAAGAAGCTTTTGAAGATCCAGAAGAAGAAGACAATTTAATCCTTATCAAAGACGAGATAAAGATTGAAGAACCAGAAATAAGTAACTGCGATATATGTGACGAAAATGTGTGCCTTAATTCAGAAACCAGAAGTAAAGATTTTTTGCATGGTGAATTTGAAAAGGCTTTTGAAGATCCCGTTATCAAACAAGATCCGGAAGAGGAAGACAATTTAATCTTTATCAAAGACGAGATAAAGATTGAAGAACCAGAAATAAGTAACTGCGATATATGTGACGAGAATGTGTGCCTTAATTCAGAACCTTCTAAGAAAATTAAGAAAAATAAAAATAAGAAAAATAAATCAAAGGTTAAGAAAGAATACAAATGTCCTTTCTGCAATAAAGTATTTAATGATCCTAGCAATTTCAATAGACATAAGAAAATTCACACAGGCTATTCGTATTCATTTGAGTGTAATATCTGTCACAAAAAATTTAAAACTCCGTATGCTCATAAAGTACATTTAAGTCGTCATACTGGTGAAGGTTTGTATGAATGTAAAATTTGTGATAGAAGATTTTATGTACAATATGATCTTGATCTTCATGTACGATCTCATACCGGCGAACGCCCTTTTAAATGCCAAATCTGCGAAAAAAATTATATTTCTCAAAGTACATTGCGGAAACATCTTTTAGTTCATTCTGATGAAAGAAAACACAAATGTCCCAAATGCCCTGCTACGTTTAAACGAGCTGATGGCTTAAAAGAACATTTTGATAGACAACATAAAAAACAATAATTATACGAAGTAGATACGTTGCTCATCCCTGAGATGCGCCATAATACTACTATTGGGCTTGGGATACATATGTATTTCAATCTTAAATCCTACTTTATTTTATTTAAAATGAGTTTATTAGAAGGTTTAAAAAAATCCAAACAAAATTTAAAACATTCTCAAACAAAAGTTACACAAGCTGATGGTACAAGTTACATAGAAAATTCTGAAGGAGATAAAACATTTCTCAAATCCGAATATGGTTTCGTGGTCGATACAAAACCTGACACAACTCCGGCAGAAGTGGTGAACAATTTGTTCGTGGGATCACAAGATTGTGTGGATGTAAAAGTATTACAAAATCATAATATAAAATATATTCTGAGTGTTGGAATTCCGTTACCGAATATAAATTGGAATGATCTGTCGTACAAAATATCTTCAAAGTTTGTACCATGCTTAGATTTGCCGGAAACAAGATTATTAGACGTTTGTGAAGAATCAAATTTATTTTTAAAAACTTGCCTGAAGAATAATGATGGTGGAATTTTAGTTCATTGCAATGCTGGAGTATCAAGATCTGTTTCTGTAATTATTGGATATATTATGCTGGAATTAAATTATAGTTTTGAGGATGCTTATAAATTAATTAAGGCTGTTAGGCCTTGTAGTCAACCTAATCCTGGTTTCATTCAGCAGCTGAAATTGTTGAAATAATGGTAATTAGTTATAATATTTAAGCTAATGAATTTAGTGTTAAGAATATTTTATTTATGAAATATAATTCTTGATGAAAATTTTGATTGTTTTATTAAGTTTGATCAAGTTACTTTTCTTATTTTGTATAAGTTCTGGAAGTAATCATGTGCAAATTATAATCGTTATAATTATAATTTTTTATTGAAAAATTATATAAATTATAAATTAAATATTAATTAAATTATTTTCTTTATTATTTTCTTCAAAACCAATTGCAATTATTTATATCATATTGTTTCTAATATTGCTATTATCTATATAACATTATTTAGTACTAATTGTCTATAATTTATTCAGAAAAATCCTTCAAATTTTTATATCATATTTTTCATTAGTTAAATAATTTTTTCATTTTTGTATGTAAATTCATATTTTCTGCGCCAAACTTTTGATTTTATTACTAGTGTATAGTTTAAATTTATATTGACTATAAAGAAAATAATACGATATTATTATTGTAATTAAGCTTTAATATTTTAATTAGTGCCATTTTATCATATAAAATTATAAAAACAATACCATTTGATTTAATTATATCAATTATATAATTAAATTTTAATTATATATTAAACATTGTTTCATAAAATATCGATTTCTGAAACATTTTCATCTATTCTCAATTCCCAAATCCCAAAAGTTTTATGTTCAGCATCGGTTTCCGTCAATCAATAACATTCTTTGCACACATGTTGGAATTTGAGAGAAAAGACTACTTATTTCATACTCCCACTTTAGTATCCTTGAAATCTAGAATTTAGGACGGGCGCTTTGAGAATAATAATATTTATACACATTAAAAGATTGATTTTTTTTTTTAAAAAATGCATTGGCAGGAGAGGGATTACTGGCCATGGTCAACTTTTTTTTAGATGTAAAATTTAAGAATATTATTTAGCATTTCAAAGCATATACGCCTTTTCATACCTCCATCGCCAGATTTTCGTATTAAAATTACTTAAATATTACTGATTATTTGAAGGACGAAGTATAAAAATTGACAATGTTATCCGAAGGGAATTCAGGAAGCAGTCAGACATCATTTAATTTATTTCTAAATTTTTTTATACTGTTTATTATTATTATTTGTTTATTTAAGACATTTTATTTATACAATGGAATTAATATTTTATAATAGAACTCGAATTTTATTTTATTTTTTGAAACAAGTCTAAATTGCTTGTTTTCTAAATCATGTACAGCAGAAAATTAATATAACAATTATTTATAGGTTTTGGATGCATTAGGAACGTTTTCTTAAAAATAATCTTTCAGGCAAAAAATTCCTTTCTCGCAAATTATTTTGGAAAATTGTTATTCATGTTTTTGCGGTAATTCCACTTACTGTAAATTATCAGACAAAATTCCACTTATTGTGAATATGAAAGAATTCTGAACACTTAAGGGTTAAGGGTAGTAAATTATTGCACATTTTGAAACTGTTAAACTTTTATTGCAATTAATACTGCTACATGAAAGATTTTTATCTTTAGATTTGAGTCTAGGTTGTGTTTTCGATATTTTGCGAATATTTATCCTCGAAGCTCTCCTTTTATTTGGATATTTGTGTGTTTGCAAGCAATCGGACGTGCAGTCCTTGGTCCTTGGTATTGGATGTTAAAATTCTACTACCTACCTCAAACGCACCCCAAAATCCGTATTACTTTATTGTACGGATTTTTTTCATCCTTTTCAAAAGAGACGCATGTGCTCATGTTTTCTTATGTCCTTACTTGAGGGACTAGATTTAGGACAGCTGTAAAATACTACACTTAAAATTTATTTTCTAAAATCTAATTATTATTATTATTTATTTTATATTAATATTTTATTAAATTTTTAAATAAGTTTTATTATTAGTTATTAAAATCTTAATAACTGAACAAATAACATATTTTTTGATGACATTTTCTAATATGATTTAGGATAGCTGTAAAATACTACACTTAAAAACTATTTGACAAAAATCTAATTATTATTATTATTCATTTTATATCAATATTAAAATAAATTTTTAAATAAATTTTATCATTAGTTATTAAAAACTTAACAACTGAACAAATAACAATACTTTCTAATATGATTTTACTATAGTAAAAATGTATAATAAAAAAATAAAATGAATTAATAATAAGAAAATAGTTTTTATTTTTATCTTCATAATCGTTGATAATGAACATACCATTTCACTGCGTTTAATAATAATTTTAATACAACTTTTAAGGTAAAATATACATTAAAACTGCATAAATCTATTAATAATTAATTAAATAAAATCAATATTAGAGATAATATTAAACGTTAAAAATAGATTTTATTAATTCATATTTTGTAAGAAGTTTAAAAGTATTTTTGCAAAAATATTAAGTGTTCATTGCAAGACTGTTCTGATTTTAATAAAATTTAGAATGTAATACACACTTTTTCTAAAAGTAAAATGAATTCATTCCTTATTACATGTGAAACACATAATCGAGCTATATTTAGCAAGAAATTGAAACACTAATTAAATAAATTATTAATATTATTTATAATCATTTTTTGTTTTTATTTATAATTTATTTATTAATTATAAATGTTGTAAACTAGCTTTGAAACAGTTTTTCTTTGATTTTGGTCTCACTGTGTTATATTTATTTCATATCCTTTTACTTTCGGTATCAATCGATAAAGTTTTGAGATATTGAGTATAGAATTCTAATACATAATTTATCTCTTTTTTTACCCAACAATCAAAAAGTTGAACAGTTTTCTAAGATTGTTATGATGATTTTCTAATAAATTGGCATTTATTTTTATAAGGAACCCAACGGTTGGCCTTATCTATATCTGTTATATTTTATTATAGAATATTTCTAATAGTGAAAACATGTGATTTATTTTTGGTGCAGCAAGCAAATATGTGACTTCTAAGGGCTCTCATTGAAGAGTTTCCTAAACAAGACACATTTGCGAACTCAGTTCAAATACATCTCAATAGCTTATAGAATAATAAGATTCTGATTGCTATTAAATTTATCAATAAAAAAGTGACTTTAAAATTGCAACAAATGAATAATTTAAAAATTTAAAAAAATCCGAATAAATAACTATCAATTTTGCGCAACTATAATTTTTTAACTATTTTTCTTTTTTTGTCAATCAAAACTTTAAGGATTTTAAAGATGAATAATATTTTTTTGAGAATATTTTATGAAATCAGGTAAAGTATAGTCGAAGCTATACAAGATCAATGTCCTTAACCTTGTGCTTCGGGTGCTGCATCTCGCCTCTTGTGGATGAGATCCAAGTTGGTTGCACATGAAAAGGAAAAGATGCGTGCTGCGTGCGCATACATACACAAATACACAAGATTCAGTTTTGTGTTGAGCCTGGCCATGGTTTTAAAACTGCCGATTGGGCGAATAACCGGCATCAGACTATGTACCTCACGTGGATTAAGAAGTATCATATCCTTATCTATGTATCACTTCTTAACTTAAAAAAAGCAGAATATAATACAACTATTTTTCATGAAAAAAATCTAATTTTAATTCTTGGTAGACAAAAATAAGCAGTCACTCCAACGTCTTAGCAAACGAACTTTACAATACCACATATAATCACAGATTAAAAAGACAATCATTACTCGAATTAACAGAATAAGTAAAATTAGTTTATGTAGAAATTATTTATATGTATATGTATTTATAGTCATATATTATTTATGCATGTTTAGACTTACAATAGGTTTTAGTATCTATATTTGTAAATATTTTGCCATAATTGTTACATATCATAACTAAAAGGTTTACTACTGAGTAACTTTTTAAGCATCCATTTTTACTACCAACTATCTAATTACTGAATGTCTCTTGAAGACCGATTGTAATTTATATGGAAATAAAATAAAATCTGGTTAGAAATCACTATAAAATCTTCACGCCCAACAAGCTTTATCAACATAAAATTATACTTAGGACTAGATCATTTCTAACAAAAGGATCTTCTAAATGGAGAAGACCTCTAAACAAATGTGAGCATATAAACTAAAAAATAAATCTTTTAAAATACAAAATATTCTTAGCTATATCACTAGTATCTTGATAAATATAATATAATTTTTAAAAAAATGCATCACTTTTACTATTCATCACAAAATATTAAACCTTTGATAGAACAAAAAACAGGAGATCCCTATTCTGTCTTGGTAATACAAGTTTCTCGAAGAGGATAAAATTATATTTAGGACTAAATCATTTATAACAAGGGATTTAATTGGCGATAACCTTTACACAAAATTTTATATGAGAACTTAAACTTATAAAAATAGTAATAATACTTATAAAAAATCTTTTTTGTTTATTGGTTTAAATTAATGATACCAAAAATTCTTAGCTATATCACTAGTATTTTGATAAATATTATATAACTTAAAAAAGGCATCATTTTTACTATTTATCACAAAATATTAAACCTTTCATATAGCAATAAACAGGAGTACCTTATTCTAATAATACTATGTTAGTATTATAAATTTCTCAAAGAAGAATTACTCTACAATTTTAATATTTAATATTTACACATAAATATTAAGAATTTAGATTTTTTAATGTTTTGCTATATGTTGCTCGATCATGTGTTTCACGTGTAATAACTATTGAATTCACTTTACTTTTAGAAAATCTGAGTATCATATTCTAAATTTTATTAAAATCACAACAGTCTTACAGGTTCTATAAGCTTTTGGACTCAAAAATGTGTATATATACATTATTGAATATTACATTGTAAAATATATAATGTCCAGAATATTTTTTTGAAAGGCTAAAATAGGTCCTTGGAAATGCTAGCATTCTAATATATTTTATCTTAATATCCAGGCTCTGAACAGTTCGCGACAGAGAAAATTTTAAAATTATGTTTCAATAAGTTAAAAAGTTTATTATACATAACTTTATTAATGATTTTGTTATTGATTT